GCCCGCCCTCAGCCGCACCTCCCTCGCTTAAAGGAGCCGCGCGCGGCGCCCGCCGCGGCCGCCAGGGGACGCCCTAGACCCTGCCTCCGCTCGGGACCCCACCCTCAGTCAGACCCTAGCCCCGCCTGAGACCCCGACCCCGCCCCATCCAAGACCCAGACCCCAATCCCCACCCACGACCGCAACCCCGACCCCTCCCCAGATCCCGCCTTCCACCGAAGACCTCGATCCCCGCCCCAGACCCCGCCCCCGCGCAAACCTCGGCCGATACTGCGTCCCCGCCCAGACCCCAACCCCGGAACCAGCCCCTCGCTCCAAACTCGATCCCCACCCCAGACCCTGCCCCTGACCCCCTCCCAGACCCTGAGCCCGACCACCGCACCGCCGGCCAGCCACAGGTTGCAGAAAGGAGTCACGGTAGTGGCGTACCCACGGCCCCTCAGCTCAGAGCCCATCTCCTAACTGAGGCCCGCACCATGCCCTTGGAGGAGCACCTTTGAGCACTGTGCCCCTCTCCCGGTGGCAACAGGCCTGCGTCCCGCCTCCCTCACAGGCATCCCAGAGGGGTCCAGGGGGTACTGGGTGAGGCTTGTCCTCTAGGTCGCACCTCCACCAGGCCTCCACGCAGAAGAGCTGGTGAAAAGAATTTCATTTGGACGTAAAAATCTACTCTCAGCCCCGAGGAGCACTGCCCCCAGGAGCACAGCCCCCAGGAGCATTGTGTCCCCCAGGAGCACCATCCTCAGGAGCAGTGCCCCCATGAGCACTGGCAGGATGCAGAAGGAGTATAGTTGTCCATACCTGGGGGGGCACATCCTGACCCACACCCTCAAACAGGGGACACAGTGTAAGGGACTGTGGCTGGGCTACCTAGGCTGGGGTCTCCGCCTCCCCGACTCTGTAAGAGTGTCCCATGTCCCTTGTGAATGAGGCTCTTGGTGACCAGCGTCTCCTCATTGGCCAGCAGGACAGGCTGGTTGAGCTCTGCAAGGTGGGAGCTGTGGAGTTCCCCGGGCAGCGAGAGGGCAGGAAGGGCCTGCTGGTCCTCCAATTGCTCCTGCACGGGGGCAGACGGGTGCATGGGGAAACTGAGGCCGTCCTCTCTGTGGCGGCTCGTTCCTCTCCCCACCACCACCCATCCAGGAGTGAGTCTGGTCTCTGGGATCGAGTTTGTTCCGTAGACGTGGCCTGGTGCCTGCCAGAGCACAGCGGACGCTAGGACAGACCCCAACCCCAGGTCAGGCAGAATTTCTGGCGAGGTTCAGGGTCGACTCTCCATGCGGCCAGCAGAGGGCAGCAGAGGGCCATCCGGGATGCATGAGGGGAGGGCCCAGTGGGAAGGTCTGATGGCTCCTCACCAGCCTCAGTTTCCCCACCTGTGATGGGGGAGTGTGGTGTCCAGTGTCTGCGGCACACATAAAGGGAGCGCTTAAAGTGTTCAGCCCCTGTCCCCCACCCAGCTCCTTCTCTGCAGCCAGAGGGGGTCGACTCTGGTCAGGTGGATGGGAGCTCAAGCACCACCACCCCAAGCCTGGAGACACTTCCTTCTCCCCAGTCAGCACACAGGGCTGAGTTAAGGACAGGAAATGACTGGCAGGCCCTTCTACAAGCCACTGCCGTTGAGGGAGGAAAGGAGCTAGTACCATCAACCACGGCTTCCTGCCTCAACGGCCACCCGCCCCCACCTGGGGCAGGAACAGCCCAACGGCCCGGTGCTGCCCCTCAGCTCCAGCTCCTGATTCCCTCCTCAGCACTGCCCAGAGGCCACTGAGCCCCTCTCCTCCTCCCATCCAGTCCCCAGCAAGGAGTCACCTGGCCAGGGGGCTGCCTCCCCTTGCTGCCCCCCTCACTGCCCACCTGCCACCACCCACCAGCCGTCAGAGGGAACTCCAAGTCACAAATCAGACCCCGTTGCCCGTAGACGCCTCTCCTGCCAGGCCCTGTGAGATGCAGCACCTTCAACACCAGCCAGACGCCCCCGATGCTGGCTCTCCACCACCTCGGCCCTTTCGGGGTCAAGGACAGATCTCCAATAAGGTGCCATTTAGGGGGCTGAAGGGAGTGGGCGGGGTGAGCCGGGCAGACAGCCAGGGTACAGGGCCTGAGGCAGGAGCAGGTGGGAGGCTTGGGGGCTGGGCCGGTGGCCGAGGGGCGTGAGGCAGGGACAGGTACGTGGGAGCCCTTCTGCCTCTGCAAAGAGTGGACACAGCCATCCTCCGTGTTGGCTCTTTACTAGCTCCGTGCCCCACCCCACTGGACCCACCAAGCACTGGCCTGTTCGTCACTGCGCCCAGCGCCCGCATCGGGGGTGCTCAGCTGCTATGGAAGAAGGAAGGTGACACTCACGTCTCCAGGACAGCCAGGGTCCCACCCAAGATTCATGGAAGGTGGGTGCCGTGCCCCCACCTAATCCCCTCCCTGCTCTCCCCTCTCCCTCCCCAGATGCCTTCCCCAGTGCCCACCAGCCTCCTCCTCCAGGCAGCCTCCCAAGCCCGACTGCTGACCTGCCGTGACCTCCCCCTCACTCCCTGGCCTCTGACCCCAGTCTGCCTTTGTCCAATGGGACCCCCATAGTCCACGGTGTTCAGGCCTGGAACCAGCCCTCAAGGTCCTCGTAGACCTGGCGGCGAGGCAAGTGGGGGTAGCGGGCACAGATGGCACAGAATCGCTCCCGCCAGTCGCTGAACAGCCGCACACGCAGCCGGTCACGCCAGGCAAAGAAGCGCTGGTAGCGAGTCTCATTCATGCCGGCCAGGAAGGCGGCCAGCTGGCGGGTCGAGCCGAAGTCGTCCACGTGCACAAAGGCATCAGGTGGCACAAAGGCCTCGTAATTGGCCCGCGGGGGCCCCAGCACCACAGGCACAGTGCCGGCCACCAGCGCGTTGCGCCACAACTTCTCAGTGATGTAGTCACGGTGCTGGGAGTTCTCGAAGGCCAGATAAAAGCGGTAGCGGGCCACAGTGGGCAGCAGGCAGTTGGCACAGAGGGGCCGCCCGATGGCGCGGCCAAACACGTCTACTCGAAGGTGCCGCGCCAGCTGACGGTACAGCTGTGCCCGCCGCTGCTGCTCTTGGAAGTTGCTGACCACCCAGGCGGCCACCCCACTTTTGGCTGGCAGGGGCGGTGGCGGGGGCCCCGTACGGGGCTCCAGGTGGCCATAGGGCACGAAGATGTCGGAGTCGCGCCGGTAGCTCAGCACCCAGTTGAAGATGCCGCCGAGGCGGCCAAGGCCGTGCGTGTGGCTGGGTGACTCCAAGGAGGCCCAGACCCAGGGCTGCCCCCACGGCCGCCTGTCCAGGGGCAGGCGGGCCCAGCGCATCTGCAGCTCACGGTGGTGGAAGACCACAACATCGGCTCTGGCCAGCAGGCTGCGGTTGGCGGTCAGGCAGCAGTTGGTGACCCCGAAGTGGGTGCAGGTGTCACTAGGCAGATCCGGGGGCCGGTCAGTGAAGGGCCAGTGCCAGATGAGGATGGTGAGCGTGGGCTGGGGTGCCAAGGTCTCCCCAGGGGCCGGCCTGGGAGGCCACAGAAGCCAGAGGGCCAAGAGCACGGCCCCCCCGGCCAGGCCCCACCAGGCCCGCAGCCTCCATCCGGCCAGTACCTATAGCAGGGACAAGGGGAGGGGAGGCTGTCACCCCCCAGGTGGGCCCAGGGGCACCTGAAGCCCACTGCCCGCCACCCCCGTGGCCCAAGCTTCCCTACCATGAGGTACTCACGGGCATTTTTCATCCACCGCCGACCCCAATCAGCCTCCCAGAATCAGTCACCCAAGAAATCCTGGCTTTTAAATCACAGTAGCTGCCAGGCAGAGGCACCCTGAAATCACAGTCTCGCCTACACGCTCAGCCCCCGAGAGCGCGCTTTCCTCTGCCCAAGGTGAGGGAAGGAGGCCACCTTCCCGTTCCAGCCCCGCCCCCACCCGGGGGGTGGGGAGGGCTTTGGCATTGCCACCTTCCCCGCCCCCGCCTCCCTGGCTGGGGCTCTGGCTGCTGGGGGGTGGGGGGTGACTGCTGTACAGGCCTGTAGGTGTGGGTGCCCAGCCCGGTGCCCACTGGCTGCCAAGAGGCTCAGAGGTGACCCCGGGCACACGGGATGGCAGGAGGAGGGCCTGGCTGGCCTCAGGGAAGGCGCCCATGTGGGGCACCCCAGAAGGGCTGGCACCACCCTCCCGCCCACTGTGCCAGCCGCATCACCCACTTCCCCGCTCTCACGGTCGACCCTTGCTCGCCTTTGCAGATGTGCTGTGCTCAGCTCTCTGCCACGAGGCTGAGGTTTCTCCTGCTGTCTCGGGTCAGGCCACCCCGCCTCCACCCTGTGCCCTTAAGAACTGACTTGTCTCCAGAACCCCGATCTCCAGAGAGTGGTCTGTCCATCCACATTAGGCCCCATGACAGACAGACAGATGCCGGGTCCCAGGATGGGGCAGGTTGGGGGGGTGGGGGGCTGCTGCTGTACATCCTGCCCAGGGTCCTGGTCGGGCTGGGGGGCGGCTCAGACTAGCTGGGGGCTCAGGACTGCTCTGGGGTCTCCAGGTCACTTCCTCTTGGCCACTGCTGGGCAGGGGCGGGGAGGGGGCTTTCCAGGCTGGAACGGGAAGCAGTCATTCTGTCCCTGACGCCGGAGTGCAGGGGGCTGGCGCCCGCTCCAGGAAGAGGAAGACTCAGGATCCAGATCCCCCGCCTTCCCTCTGGCTGCCGTGGGGGTCCACTTCCTTCCCCTTTCACTTTGACCCCTCAGGGCTGGAGATGCCACAAGGCCGTGAGGGTTAGCTGGGAGGCCTAGAGGGTCATGCTCTTGGCTGCTGTGCACAAGAGGTCCCAGCTCTGGCCACACCCTCTCTCAGCCAAGGATGTGCCCCACTGACTCTCTTTGCCCTGGCCGGACCTCACACTGCCTGCTGTCCAAGACTGGTCCATGATGAGGTGTGGTGAGGCCCAGCCCTTCTTCACAGTGTCCTGGAGGACCCAGGCTGGTCAGCTTCCTTGAGGCCCCAGACCAGGTCCCAGGGAAGGAACATTGACCAGGAACTGCTGGCCAGGCCCACTGTCCCCGAGCCCTCCTAGAGTCCCTGCCTGCCCTATCCACTCTCGGGGCCCACGGGTTCCTGGCTGCCATGAGGACAGATCTGTGGGAACTTGTGCAAGACCCAACGGGGAGGGGGTGCTGTGGGGACATAGGAAGCCATTGACTGGCCTGAGACACGGGCTCTGCTCTCTGCCGGCCCTGTCTGTCCAGAGCCACCTGTTACAGCGTGATTACCACGGGGCACCCGGGCCTTGGCTCGCCCTGCATGCTTCCTGGCAGGGCAACCCCAGGGAAGCCACGCCCTGGCCTTGGGCCTGCTTTCACCACAACTCTTCTCCCTGCGGTGGGGAGGGTGGGGGGCACAGGAAGGACAGGATCCTGCTGCAGCTCTCCAGGGACCTGGCCACCCTTCTGGTTTGTACTGCCAGCCTGGCAGGGCCTTGCCACAAGCCCCAGCCGCACCCACAGCCTCCCCACTGCATCCTGGGTTGGGCTACGCCAGCTTGAGAAGGCCAGCACAGGTTGGTGACCACAGTGGCCCAGGTCCTGGGAACCTGCTGATGGGAAATGAGGGGCTGGGAGGGGGGCCCACAAGTAGGAGAGAATGAAAGAAAGGGGGTGAGAGAGCATGAGTCAAAGGGAAAGTCGGGGGCCTCATCCTGCCATCTCACCCCACCACCTGGCCTCCAAAAAGTCGGGGGCCTCATCCTGCCATCTCACCCCACCACCTGGCCTCCTGACATGCTGGGTGCCCTGGGGCGCAGGCGGGGGGACTGCACGTGGACGAAGTCCAGCAGCCCTTGAGCGTCACGGGGATCGGGGATCGGCAGCTCAGCTGTCTCCACCCTGCGGCCCCAGGGCCCAGCCTGTACAGCACCAGCGCAGAGGCCTCAACAGAGCAGGTCCGGCGTGGATGCGGGCAGGCTGCTGGGCTGCGGACTGCTGTCCCCTGCAGGCAGCAGCACCTGGGCAGCCAGTGGGTGAGGGCGCCTTGTGGAGAGCAGGCAACTAGTGCTCCTCCAGGGCCCCCTGGTGGCTGTGCCCTGAAGCCACCTGGCTCCTGCTGTCTAGGCAGCAAAGACGGAAGAGATAGGAGCCGGCGGGAGGGATGGAGCTGGGTCTAGGGAACGCTGCTGGGCTCACCTTCAGGAAGAGGGTGCACAGAGGACAGGGTCTGGGAGGCTCGTGGGGACCAGGGGGCCCCCAGAGGGGCATGCTGAGGGGGCAGCACAAGGGCGGTGCCGGGAGCCACTTGGCAGGGCAGACTCTCCACCTGCCGACAGCCGCAGAACAAGATAGCCACCACCCGGAGGGCACAGGTACAGCCCAGCGTCTGGCGGAGCCCCCACACCCTCCTCACTTCCGGCCCAGGTGGAGGGTACACCCATGCCCTTGTCCAGGTGCAGATCCTGGACCAACTTCCAGAGGTCCCCCCTATGCCCTGCTGCTCAACAGCGATGTGGGTCTGCATAGACCCCTCCTCTGCTGCCCGGCTTGGGGGGACTCTGGGCCAGCCCACCCTACCACCCAGGCTGGCAGGAGGGAGCTGTGAACTGCAGTGGGAGAGTAGCACCCTGTGGGTCTGCTGCTGGGGGGGCAGTCTCACTTCCTGGGGTCTTCCTAGGGTTTGTCGAGAGGGGAGTCACACCAGCCACACGCTGTGCCAAGGGTGGGCTCACCCAGGGTCTGGGCAGGAGTGGGGGTGTTGCTTATGGCGTCTGCGTGTAGGGGGTGCACGAGCTGGAGAAGTTTGCTCCAGAGGGGAAGCAACCCACCCGCCTCCCAGGTGAGGCGGCATGGCCCAGGGCCCCTCTGGTGGGAACCAGGCCGAGGAGGGGTGGCTGGCTGGACTCCAGGTCTGGGTGGGGTATAGATGGGCTGAGGCAAGGTGGGCTCCGGGTGCCGCCAGGGGAGGCGTTCAGCAGTGGGATGGTGGGTGAGGACAGGCACAGCGGTGGGGGCTGAGGCTGCAGGTGGCGGGGCGGCGGGCACACTTGGGCAGGGCCTGGCCAGGCTCCACACTAAGGGTTCGTGTCTCCAGAGCTCAAAGGGGCCAGGGCTTCTTGCACCCCGAGCCCTGGCCCAGAGCCACTCCTCCACACCTGGGGAGACAACAGGAAGCAGGGAGGCTAATGACGGCTGTCTGGGATCTGGCTTTGAGCTGACCCAGGCCAACGGACGCCATAAAAGCCGGGGAGTGGGCTGGTAAGCAGCCAGGGGCCTGGGCAGGGCAGGTGGGTCATGGGCGGTTCCAAGGGCCCCAGGCCCCTGCCGTCCCTTCCCAGATGCACCCCAGCTCTTCACCTCGTTGCAGCAGCTGCTGGAAGGGGTACCCTCTGCTCCAGGGGGGTGGGCGGCAGGCCCTGGGGGTAGGTTTGGGACCCCTGAGAAGGTCGAGAAGAGAGGGTACACTGGGTGGCTGCTCTCGGCACCCAGGTCAGGCCAGCGGGGTGTTGTCCAGGCCTGTGCATGCAGGCTGAGTGCTGGAGCAAGCCAAGGCTCCCCCTCAGAGGACCCCGGGTACCTGCCTGGCTGAGACTCGGGCTGAGGCACTGGGGCAGGCAAGGAAGGTGGGACCAGTGGGACCTGGGTAATCCCTGCCACTGGGCCTCGGAGGAGGCCCTGTTTCTGGGGACAAGCTGGGCTGCAGCTCGGACGGCTGTGTACCAGGGAGCCCCTAGTGCCCTGAGCAGGGTGTAACAGGGGCACGGTGGTATGACCTGACGCTGGTGGTGTGAGTGGCCCTGGGCTGGGGCCAGGGCTGAGGTCGAGGCTAGGGGCACAGGCGCTAGGCATGGCCTTGGACTTTTCTGGGAGAAACTTTGCTGCTCCCTCCCATCCTGGAGCCAGCGATGGGGCGGGTGGGGTGGGAAGAGCAGGCGTCATGGCCCCAGGGGCTGGCCAGGAGTTCCAGGGGTGCTGCCAGCTGGGCCAGACCCGGCCAGACGCCCAGCACTGTATGCCCTTGAGCAAGACTTTAATCTCTCCGCACTCGTTTTCCTGGAAAGAGGATAACGTGGCTATCTCCCCTCATGGCACAAATTACATGACGGGATGTGGGGTGCTGAGCCCCTAGTCTGCATAGGGTCCTGGCTCCCAGCCTGGGCCCTTCACCCCATCCTGCACCAGGCCCCACTGCTCTCTGGCCCCAGAAGCCCCTCTGCCCAGCCCAAGCTGGCACCTTAGTTCTACGGTGCTGCCCAGTTCAGGCCCAAGGCCAAAGAATACCCCACTGGCCTCTCTGCCCCTTGGTTGCAGGAGCAAGTCCTATCTCCCAGCATTCAAGGCCCCTGCCATCTGACCTGACCTATCTGGTGTAACTGTCCCCCAGGTCCCTCTGCCTGGCATGCCCTCACCCCTCACACACTCCAGGGGCCAAGGGTCCACAGCCCCGTGACAAACCCCTACTCAACGCTCCATCTTGGGCCCCTTCCTGCTGTCCACCCTAGGGGCACTTGGGCAGCAGGCGGATGGAGCCTGGACATATGTGTGCTGCCCTTTTCTTCCCAGCCACAGGATGGGGTCTCCAAGGAGTCAGCCAAAGCCGGCCTGGCCCTTTCCGACTTAGGAACAGACTAGGTACAGGTAAGGCCTGCACAGGAAGAGGGATGGGGCAGCCTCAGCGTCTCCCCCGCCCTGTGGGAGGGTCTTCCCAAACAGAGGAGAGATGCTTCCCTGCCTGGGGGCTCTGGGGGAGGCCCCAGGCGCCCCTCCAGGGTCCATCCACCATAACCTGCTCCTCGAAAGCACCCAGGAAGCCACGCACAGGCCACAGGTTTGAAATGTACTTTAATTGGCTTTTGTCTGGAAGGTACCTGATT